GGCCGCTGTTACATCCTGGGTAAACTAGTTAATGTAATGAAGTGGGAACTGGCTTTTGTTATATCCTGGCTAAACCAGATATCATGATGAAGTGGGAACTGGCCGCTGTTACATCCTGGGTAAACTAGTTAATGTAATGAAGTGGGAACTGGCTGTTGTTATATCCTGGCTAAACCAGATATCATGATGAAGTGGGAACTGGCCAATATTTTCCTGCGAATTAAATGAATACACTGACAGGAGACTTGGCTTCAGTCCAAAAAACAATTCAAATAAATTACACAGTGTCACACACGATTGTTGTTTTTATTGAATTTTTAGTGTTCTGATCGAGTTATTAATTTCGTATACAAAGAGTTGTTACAACAAATACTACAATTTGACGGGAAACAGTTTTAATACTATTAATAACAAATATCTGAATTAATATGTAAATATATTATAATAAAACATTTGAAACAAATCAAACAATGCCAAAGTTTCATGACAGCAACTTTTTTACCCAGTTTGAAGGCCCATATTATAATAATTACAGGGCTGTCATGTGCTATTAAGTACACACGTAGAGGAAGTCATGTGAAATATTACACATCACGAGGAACTCAATAATTGGAAGTAATTACAACTATTAAACAAATTTAATAACGCTACACAACAATGTAGATACTCGTTTCCACGTCCATCCTAATTTGTAAATTTTGAATTTCCAAATCGGAGAGTCTTCTGCACTACCACAAGATAATTCGGAGATTGGACAGAGAAGAATTTCAGATTGAACTACAATCCGAAGTTTAGAGAAAAATACTTGCAACCTCTGTGATTGAACGATAAATATTAGGCCTATTGATTTCCAGCTTTAGACTACCAAAACCGTAACGTTGAATTTCGAACACTTAAATTCCTGGAAATATTAACGAAGATTAGAGGCATCATATGAAATACTAAATCTATATAATACATTATACAAATATATGGAGGTATTTTTTCACAACTCTTGGTGGCATTAGAAAAGATCTTTAGCGTTACCAGATACTCAAGTTTGATCCCACTGGTTCGGGTTG